GGGATAAAATTGTGCACCCTTGTGCTCAACTGCCAAGTTAGACTTTCTGTTCTATACTCTCATATATATATATATTGAATCTAGAATTCTATACTTTAGAAAAACCACATAATTAATTTAATGAAAACAAAATGGCAAATGATATATATATCCTATAAATTTATATTTGTCATTGTACATAGATAATTTTTATTATTTGTATCATTAAAATTGATAATTTGCATTACTTATTCTATTAAAATTGATAATTTTTATTATTTATGTTGTTAAAATTAACTATTTTTGTTATACATTGACGATTTCTGTCAATATATAACAGAATATGTAACTTTGTAAGGTGTCTGTATTATTGTTAAACAAAAAATCGTCTTTATTTAACAATTCTTGCGTATTGAATGTTAAACATCACATTTTATTGATATGTATGAATATTCTTTCCAATTTTTTGATATATCTAACGGGTGAACCATACAGGCAAGGATGGCACATTTCTTTTGCAAAACAGTTGAAACATTAGCAGTCCTTAAGGCAAATATTCAAAGATCCATGCTTTCTCAATGACAAGTTTTTAGTATTAAAATTTAATTTTTGCAAAGATCAATAGAAAGCAACCTTTACCATATATTTAGGATGAGGGAAGGGTAAAGGAGGAAAATTTTTTCAATTAATTAAATTATAAATTTTTTAAATATCATAATTTGATTTGGTTAAAAAAATTCCCCTTCTCTTTTCTCTTCCTTTATTTTCTTTAAGTTAAACATATTATTAAAGTAGGGATAACAAAATATTATAATATTTTGGTGATTAAAATATCAAAAATAATAACAAAAATTTAAATGCCTTAATGAATTATCATGCAATAACAATTAATTAAAGATACTTAATCTTCTGTCTTAAAATAATTATCGTTTTGTGATTTTTTTCTAAATTAAAAATTTAAAACAATTCATATATTTCTTTATATTATCCTTAAAAAATTAAAAAAATAAAGACATATTTTTTATAATAAATAAATAATTAAAAAAATATTTATCTACTTAAAAACAAAAAAAAATGAAATGGAAGTAAATAATTTCATTTTTGACATTTAAACATATGGACTTCCTGCACTTTTTTTATTTTCAAGTAAACCCGAAGTGTTTTTGTGAAAATTCCAACAAAAGTAAAACAGAAAAATCACTCTGAAATCAAATAGAAAGATGTCTTAGTTTGATATTACTAACCTAGAACAATAGGTATTTTAATTTTTAATATTTAAAAAAAATATAAAATATATTTAATATACTTAATATTTATTTTAATTAATATTTTATATATTTTTAAAATAAAAAAAACATAAAAATTAAAAACTAAACTACCAACAAAGCCGAAGTTGGAAACTGACACTGGAATCCCAAGAGTATGTTAGTTCAGTTTTCAAATGTTTGAGTTTTTTAATATTATTTATATTTCATAAGTTTAAAATTTTTTTAAAAAAAATTTATGTTTTTAAATTTTTTTTAATCTTAAAAAATTTACTTTTTAAAATTTTTTTAATCTTAAAAA